CGTTACAAAGAGACCGACTTCCACGACCTTTAATGTTTTCTTTTTCACCACGTCTTCCGCTCTTACCGGCCTCTTTGCCGTGGCGGGCACCCGGTTTCCCTTGACCGGTCCCCTCGCAAGAAAAGCTCTCTGCTTCCTTACGGTCTCAATCTCCCACAATCCACCACGCTTGACTGCCTCTATACGGACCACGCCGCCTGACTCAACTTGCGCCGTTCTCCCTTGGAGCACCACACGTGCCCCCGCATCTGCCGCCTTCTCAGAGCAAAAAACTCATCCGCCTCCGGAACGTGCCGGACCTCCTTTAAGGTTACGTACTCACACCGCTCGGGGTCTTACACAAAAGCTCAACGTCTCCGATTCCCACCGCCACCAGAGGCTCACCACAAATCCCCATGATCTCCTCCTCACGCACAAGCTCTCTTGTAGCTCGATAGAACCTGCTTGTCTAAAACACGTGATTCCGTCAAGAGCGCATCATCAATTGCACCTCCGACTGCCCATCCAGCTCACGGGCTCCCCACGGGCTCTTGATGTGCACTTTTTAAGTGATCCCCTTTCGATCACCTATATAAGTTACCGCGCGCGTATTCGATCGCGATGACCTAGTCCAAACACTTGTACATGAGTCTAATAAATCAAATGCAAAACTTTGATTTAGCGGTCGGCATTTATGTGATCGGTCGACTGACTCATGCTCAATTCTAAGTTCTTTCAATGCATATAATGCAGATACTACTAGATACAACCGGTTGCGCGGCGAGCTTGCACAAGTTCTGTTGTGCAGCAACCTAGCGTGACGTTGTCATTATTGCTTGTTTGAGCTGCGTCAACTGAACGAGCTTCGATCAACAAGCCGACAATCATGCAGCTAGGTAAATCAAGGCTACATTAATGGACATGTGCATGATAGCCAAAAAGTGCTTATTGTGTGTGCTGGGTAGCCGCGGCCACGTCGGGCCGCATGTCAACCTGCAGCGATCATTCAATTCCCCGTACTGAGACCAAGTGTAATATCATTTTCATCCGATCCGCATACCGTACATCAAGCAACTATGCCGCTAGATTGAGCACACGCATGCCAAGCTAGTCCAGGAGTTTGGACTAACTAGGCTTAGTAACGAGCGTTGGCATACCCGAGCTGCAAGCTGTGTGCGCCAGCGAAGTTGCTCAAGCGAAGTTGCTCAGTGAACTGCGCAAAATGTCAATCTCCACGACCGTCATTCAGGAGCAATTGATCTACGAGTGACGGTATAGCCCGTTCCTTGAACGGTCTAATCAAATTCCATCTGGCAATCAGGAAGTACAATCTACTGAGACCGACGCAACAGCAGTAGGTCGGTGAAGGGACGAATTCTGATATTAGACATAAGCGCGTGCATGGCAGCCACTGAGCGATTCTGCGGCAGTGGACCAGCCCTTGCCAAGCAATAATTTGCACCGGTTAAAACTTGGATTCGTCGACGATGTGCCATAAATAACTTACGAAGAGATTGGCAGCTAACATAAGAGCTGGATATAGACATATCATCAACACGAGCAGTTCACAGTTGGTTCCGCTTGAACCTACTCAAAGTTTCGCTAAGCCTTCGCCTACAACGACCCCGACCCCACCTCAAAGCTTCTCGACAGACGGCGGCACACACGTTCACAAGGACGGGTAGAAAGAGGGGCATGTAGATGGCCATGTGGTGCTCGCTTGGGAAGTACAGCAGGGACATGAGCGTCGGGTGGAAGAAGGCGGATTCGGCTTGCGCTCGAGCATTCCTTGCGGCACCTGTCACGAAATACGAAGGGAAAGATAAAGCTACTCTGCTCGCCATACGTCTCTTCGCTGCATCGGCCAGCTTGCAGAGATGCGGGCTTTCTTTCTCCTCGGTTTGCAACTACGAACGGGACGATAATCCGAATTGATAACTTGATCCTAGCAAAGGCACTTCCTCGGCCTCGTCGAAGTTAACCAGAACCAGAACCTCAAACTTGCAAATACTTCATCCTTCTGCTCAAACTCAAGACCCCGAGCGAGGGAGCGGAGCTCGGGGGCTCACTGGCTGCTGCCTCGTAGCTGCCGGCCAGCATGGCCGTCTGCGCTTCGCCCGCGGCCGCCAGGGCGCGCGTCACCTGGTCCGCAATGCTGTCGTGGACCACCATGTTGGACAGCGCGGACACCAGCGTGGACAGCGACCGCAGCGTCGACAGGGCCTCCCGCGTATCGTCGGAGGAGCGCGTCCGCAGCAGGGCGGCAACCTCCCTGGGGAAATAAGGAGACGGCTCAACTTAGATTCTGGACTGAAACGCTATGCGTCGAATGGCAAGGGCCGTCATCTTCCAGATTCAGAAGCACAGTTCGCACGGGAAACGACCGTCAGAAAGACCGCGGCCTCAACAATCCTCCAAGAACCGAAGTTCATTGGGACCGCTTAAAGACGGTTAGCATTTAGCGTATGCCTCGACGGAATGCACTGCTACTAAGGTCTGTCTGAGAGGCTTCCATTTCCCTGTTGACAAAAAGGACGGCGCTCGGTCGGACTTCTTTCGAACTGAAACGAGTGCCGTCGGCAGCCTTTCAACTCGATCCATGTGTATGTTGACAATTATTTCTCAAGCTCATCTTCCCAGGGTCGTCTTTTGCGACTCACCAGCCTGCAAAGCCTTTTGGCCCCGGCGACAGCGTTTGCACTTCGGCAGACCGCTTGGGCGTCGCAGACAGACCGAACAGGGTGCGCAGCTGGCCGATCTGGATGGCGAGAATTCGGCGCAGCTCGCTGGAGGGGATTGTCCTTGGACCAGTATCCGAGGACGCGTTTCTGTAGGAAAACGAACAACTTGAAGACAATCGACCAGGGTTAAAGGGTGTCTGATCCGTCACGAAGTGATAAGAGTTGGGCAGGAATGACGTTTGGCCAGCCGAAATCAAGAAAATGCTGAAGCATGGCCGAGAACCCGGATCGAGATCGGTTTGCAACATTCTAAATCTGCGGTAAGCAGTCGCTGCGCACTTTCAAAGGCAATTCAGAGAAGGACACAGGCTGATACGCAAACAGATTTCGCAATGCCAAGCACGCAATGAACTGACTAAAGTGGTAACGAACAGCATTCAAAATTGCCTCCGGCACAAGGCCCGGAGCGCCCGAGAAGCGAGTCCCCGAAGCCTACCTTGAACACTGCGGAGGGTTCCACACCACGACCCCTCCCCACGACGGCACCGTGAACCCGTCCGTCGGGGACAGTTTCCCATTGGGCAGTTTGAAGTGGAGGGGGCACTCGTCTGCCGCGGGGACGTAGACCGCAAAGTGCAGCAGCTTGGAGCGGCCGGCAGAGGCAACCGACGTGTCCAGGTGCCACTCGTGGGAGTTGACAAAGAAGGGAAGGTCGGAGTGTGGAACGATGTAAGCCTGGTGCTGAGGATCCCATGTGGGCCGCACCTGGCACGAGACATGGGCTGTTGGAAGCGGGGGAACATCAGGGGTGCAGAATCTCACCGCCTCCTTTTTGTTCAGCGAACGAACCGTACGGAGGTGCGACGCTGTTTGAAGCGAAGGGATGGTGTGCACTGATTGTTCAGCTATTGAAGGGGTTGTCACAGTCGTCGAAGAGGCTAAAATCTGTAGGAATCTAGTCGACCTCAGGGGTGCCCCCTTCCTTTGAAAGAAAACCGTCTATTCCCAAGACCAAGACAGCTCCACAATACATTTCCTGGAAGGGATCAACCAACGTTTAGGAGAACGGCAACATGAGACTCATTGTCTTAGCTCACCTGGCTCCTGGCGTAGTACAGCACCTGGCTTTCCACTGCCAGCTCAGCGACAGGACTGATAGCCTGCACCAGTGGCGCAAAGATATGCTCTTCCGCTGAGGCGAAGTCCCAGTCAAAGACCCAGTCTGCCGGGTCCGCATTCAGAAGAGAAAAGGAGAGTAAAGCGGAGCCATCAGCAGCGAACGGCATCGGCCCAGACGGCCTCCTGGCTCGACGCCTCTTTCTTTCACTGACAATTTTGTCATCCTTGTTCTGTTTGCTCGCTGGGCTTGCGCCTGGATTGGAGTTGCGTGATGGATTGGGGACCAGCGGCATGGCACCTTGGACCATGTGCTTGGCGGCTTGCAGTACTTTTGGAGCTACCGTCTCTTCGAAGCTGTCCCCTATAGTGGCTGGTGAATTACTTATCCAAGCATGCCTATGTTTTCCTACGACAGGAGTTGAACAATGCTCTTCCAAATGCCCAGCTGCTATAGGGTCACTAATCACTATGAATACAGAGTAAGCATTGCTTCCTAGTTCAAAACTGTCTGCGAGCGGGAGGAGGGTCTCATCTTGCTCGTGCAAACGCAGATTGGACCAAACAGGGGCAGAGAAGCCCCAGCGGAAGTTGCAAAGCCGCTCCTGATGGTTATTGGCAGACTTGTGGTACTCTAAGCAGGAAGTAGGACTGATATAAGTCAACCTGGTATCTATCTGCTGCCCATCCTGCTGATCTGCATTACTAACACTGCCTGTGATGGGCCCTCCTGACCATGAGCGCTCCTTGCTGAGGCCGCTCAAACTTTGCTGGAGCTTCTCCAGCATGCGGGAAGGGGGACGTCTGTCCTCTTCATTGACGCCATTGGTCGAACTCAGTAACAGGACAAGAGACACGATGACAGGAGAATGGACAGGAAGGGGATTGTGTGATGGTTCAAGGTTCAACTTTGGCAGTGGGGCCCGATGAACTTCAGTCGTCTTCCACCATACTGGGAGCCCTGCAGGGAGAAGTACGCCAGTGCTTCAAGAAGTTACTGCTGCATTGCACTCTCACCACCAAACACCGTTCAACTATTCCCTTCCAAGTGGACAAGGGCACAACTCAGAGATAAGAATACAAGGGGCTCAGCGGCACCACTTAGTCAGCAGTACTCCTTGTGCCTGATTAGAGAGCCACAGCTGAAAGTTAATGCAACACGCTATATCGTGGAAGAAGAGAAGAGCAAACAGAGGTACCCCAGTTTCTCAAGTTGCCCGCTCACACATGCACCACCTCTCCATCAGCTGCCTTGAGCACAACTCTGTGTCGACAGAGGTGTGATGATCATGACCATTCAATATAACACTGCAGATGGATGGCACGGAGGTTTACCACATTCCTGCTTTTTTTATGGAAGGCTTACCTGAAAACAGACCAATAGCAACAATGAAGGCGACAACAAGGCGTCCGCTGTCCCTGGTCATGTCCTCAGCTGAGATTGCATCATTCCTTGATTTGGCTCCTCCAGCATCCATCAGAACTGCCCTGCTGTCCCTTCAAGCCTCATTTCGAATTTTCCATGACCTGGCACCAATTTCCGCAAGTGCTTTCGCATGAGCTAGAAAAGCATGGTGGCCAAATGAATTGCGCCACACCTTTTCAATGCTGCACACCTCTGCAATCTGGATGAGCTAGACCTACTGAGGCTAACGAGAGGAGGATTGAAACCCTAACTTTTCATGCCAGATCAGGACTGAGCACACCCACTCAAATGATGTGTGTGAGAGCGATCGAAATTGTCGGAAGATGGCTCTGAAGACCTTGAAGCAGTCGCACAGCTTCAAGACATATCCCGCACAATGCGGCACTGCCTTCAGAAGAGGATCCGAGGGGTTCCCTCTGAACATTTGTACCTCAAGAGCAGCTCAAAAGTAGCTCAAGTCTCAAGAGCAGCAGAGCAGCAAAGGCTAAAGCGCATAGGCTGCCAGAAAAGCCGCCAGACAAGCTCAGAGTCAAGCTGCAAAGGGCTGCACTTCGGCACTTCTAACAGGTTTTCTAGTGGACGTAGGCGAACAGTCAGGCCGCCAGCCCTGATTGCTTGGCGTGCGTTGCAAAGTCTGCAGGGAACATTGTCCTGCCGCTCTTTGGCTAGAAAGAGGAGGTCTGTATATATGCAATGGGCAATCTTTTCTCCACCAACAAGAAGCGTCAGATCACGGATGTTGACAGGGCGGTGCTGTCATTGAAGACACAGCGGCGAAAATTAGTTGAATATCAGAGAAAAGTGAGTTGTTCCATACTTATGAATGGGCTCAGGTTGTTCAATCTATCACATACATGCAGCAGCCTGTCTCCATGCTCATATAGTCGCGAGTCACCCATTCTATTGGTTAGCAGGGTCGTTTTTGGGTTCCGCAACCCTCAGCGGGACAATTCTGCCCAGCTTGTGAGAGTGGATCGATATTCAATGGTCAAACAGAGTCTCGCATAGCTTGTTTCAAGGGGAGAATGTTCTCACTTTTGATTGGCACCAAAAGAATCTTGGGGATGAGGTGTAATAACATCAAATACCTCTGAGCAGGTAGAAAGTGTTATTGAAAGGGAGACGGCCGCGGCCAGGGAGCTCCTGAAAGAGAAGAAGAAGGAGCGGGCGCTGCTGTGTTTGAAGAAGAAAAAGTATCAGGAGCAACTGCTGCAGAAGGTGGACGCCTGGATCTTCAATGTGGAAGAACAAGTGAGTTTGATCGGACATTGGCTCAGAGTTAGTAGCGTCTGCGACATCCCAACTACTTGCCGAGCAGCCCCATTGCTCAGAATCCAAACCTAGGAAGGACAATGCAATCACAAGGGTAAAATCACCCGGCAGTACTTCTTCACAGCATTGGGACGGAGTGTCTTGTTTGTTGGTGGATCACAAGACCTGCGCATTTGGAATGCATGTGAACAATCTGCTCACCTTGTGTTTGGCTGTCGAGTTTGATTCATCGCAGCCTTGTATTGACCTCTTAGTCTCGTGTGCAGATTACGAATATCGAGGTCGTAGGGCGCCAGAAGGATGTGTTTGACAGCCTCAAGAGTGGCCACAGCACCATCAAGGAGTTGCAGAGCGAGATCAGCATTGACGACGTACAAAAGCTGATGGATGAGACAGCTGAAGCCAAGGAGTACCAAGATGTACGAGGCCCCATCCTGACTTCACCACCAAGACTACTCGTCTCACACTTCTTGTCTGCTTCGGATGGGGTCAGGTTTTCAATTGTGGCGTCTGCTTCAACAGCCTCCTGTTCTTGTGGCCTGACTCCAGTCTCTGGCTAAGTGGTTACTCTCAGGAAGGAGAGCAGGCAGTATCTCGACGCGGACACCTCTACTCTTGAAGTGTGACCATCAATGCACCCATGAATCACGGCTCCTGCAGGAGGTCAACCGGATACTTGGCGAAAAGCTCTCATCAATGGAGGAGGACGAAGTGAATGCCGAGTTTGATAAGCTCGAAGAGGAGGTAGGCTTTCCCCCACTTTCATCTGCTCACACAAACAACCAGTTTCAATTCAATTCTAGGAGGACATTGTGACAAGCAAACTCTGCCCAGGATCAAGTTTGACGATTTGGGTGTTAGGAGGCTCCAATTCTTCCTTCTCTGTCTCTATTGTTGAGTTTGTTCGGCCAAACATTCCAACGACTCAAGCTGGCTCGTTGCAGCTCCTCGACGTTGATCTTCCGCCCGTCCCAGTGGTCCCTGAGCAGAAACTTCCGACAGAAGTGGTCGAGGACGAGGAGGAGTTGCCCGAAGTTCCATCAGAACCAGTCAAGGGTAAGCTCTAGCGGGTCCTAGTAAGGTTTAGCTAGGTGGCCTGTGAAGCGTCCTTCTATTCGGCTGTGGATGCGCTTTGTTTGCCTCAGTTTTGGGCCCTGAGAAACAGATGGAATTCCTCATCCTACATGTGAGTTAAAACCGCAGTGTTCAAGTCCTGAAGCCTCTTGTTTTTTTTGTGAAGTTCGCGGGCCAACGGAAGAGACGACGGAACTACCGGACGTTCCAACGAGACCGGTGAAAGGTAGGCAGCTTTCCAACCCGGTTCAATCTCCCAGTTCTGAATTCATTAGCAACTTTGGAACGTTTGCGACATTGCACGATGGCGGATTTAAGGTTGCCTGTCCACAAACAACATGCCACTGAGGTTTCGGGAATCCTCTCAGATTTTGATGACAAAGAACCGTGTATCAGCAAGGCACGAGAGCTGCGTTTCATTTTTTTGGTAACTTAATCAAAAGGATTTGCGAAGCATAGGTGCTTGACGGATTACAAACACATAAGCATTTCCTTTCTCTCGCAGAACGTGTGGCTATCAGGGAGGAACCCTTGACCGCGTAAGCTCGCTGATGTTAGAGGCTAGCTTTTATTGTATATAGCCCTGTCCAATACCTGATACTTTACCGGAATTTGTTTTTCAAGGAATGTGCTACAGCTGATGGTTTGTGGCGCGCGACACTTTGATGCATGGACATACATTCAAGTGAATCACTCTGTTGACACCATGAATCCAGGGTTCACTCAGAGCTGATTGAACGGATTTCAGGTGCCTCTTAGCTTGCAGCAAGTTTCCGTTCTGCAAAAGCTTGAAAGAATCATGGACTTATGCATGGTCATGACCATGCATGTAGCCTGGTCATAGTATTGATAGGGCTCGTGCGATTCACCAGCAGCTGCATGCACTATACAATCTCGCGACAGTGGCCCTTGCAAGAATCATACATATAATTCATGACAACGATGCAGAGCCGTTTCTTACGACGTTTGCTTGAACATGCCATAGACTTCAGGTGCAATCATATGCGGCCTGGCCAATTGATCCAATCTTGAAAGCAATTGTGGTCCCGGCTCATGCGCGTACGTTGTTTGGGAATATGACGGTTAGTAGGTACTTTAGCAACAACTGCAAATAATTCAACTGTAAACCGTCTTCATTCATGATCTTATCACAAATTATGTATGCTTGCCCAGCAGCTTGAAGTCATCTTTGTCACCTGCTAACTATTTTGAATGTGCTTGAAAGAAAGTTTTGAAGCGTTCAAACAACATGTACTGCAATATGATGGCCACATGGGCATAGACCTGGCTGCACTTACACCCCCATGCTCTTTCAATCAATGGACCTGATGGCAAGCTGCAGAGTCAATTCATTGTACCCCGGTCTCACCGGAGCATTGCCCGATGGCTCAGCGTGGCCCAGGGTTTATAAGAACATGTGACCATGGCATCGAGGTAGATAAGCAACTCAGACAATTGTACAGCCTCATTACAAGTGCATAAGCTTCTCCCGACTCGTACGAAAATCACCCCCACTCTGTAGGATTGAATTGCCTCCATGCGAAGGCGTGATCCTCCACAATGCTCCACTTGAAGGGTGCTGAAAGTCGACGGTGTATTGTCAAATGCAGCTGATGTGGGCAGCATCTGACTCACATATCAAATTGTACAGTCCTACTTTGCACGGTCCTTAACGGTTGCTATTATACAAAATGAGTGATCTAAGACAAAAAGAATCGTTCGAGGACCAACATTTGGTCAAACCAAGCAGACCATCTTTGTCTCTGCCAGATTCCCACAACTCGAGTCACCATCTGCCGGCATTGCCTACTAAAAGGTGTTGAACCGCACAATATGCACATACAAGCCGTTGGCTCATGTAAACCAACACGGCAAACGACAAACTACAGTAGAAGATATCCTTTGCATCGCCCTTCGTTTGCGGAGTCATGAAGCCCCATGCTTGATCGCTGAGTGCCTTCATATCAATCTGTAAATGCAGCAAAATGTGAGTTGACAAAGGGTTCCTGATCAGAAAGTTGATCAAGTGTGCCTCCGTAACCAACGCGCCACACCAGAGGGATGCGAGCGTGCTTGCAGCGAAGGGACTGCATTCTGCAATGACAGAATCATCCACCTGGTTCCAAACAGCTAAGCATAGGAGGTAGGTACTACTGGCCCCTGGCGGCACAACGCACAACCAAAAATGGCTCATCCAACAAACATCGACTCCTGAGTCTTGTAAGGCCACATCACTGAGGGGGCGATTTAGTCTTTGCAATAATCCTGGATACGAGGCCAAAATAGCATCTAGTAGACATATCAGCAGCAGAACATTAGACGCAAGTATCGCAATTCTGGTTCTCTCCATGTTGCTGACCCACCTTGGGCAGCTTGACCTTCTGCATCACAGGCTCTTCCTCGCCTGCTTGTGCGCTTCCTAGTGCTGGATCCGTTGCTTTGAGTGAGGAGGGTCCGTTCCCCTTGGTTGGCCGCATGCCGTTGGGGACCTTATGCATGCTCCCATGCTTTGAACCCTTTTCTCCTGCCGCATTTCTAATCATTGGTATCCTCGTTCGACATCGCATGCCACATCTCTGAAGGGCAATACTTTGTGGCCCGCTTGTTAAGGCGTCCTTGCCACCCTTGATAAATGTGCAAAAGGCAGACGAGCTTTGGGACACGGAAAGCTGGACAGATGCCGCCATGACGCCCAAAATGACAGGCGCCACAATTCGACCTGGCCTTCTGCACAGTCTTTCTTCCTAACCTGGCTCTTAGCGTAGCACGTGTAGCTCAGCACACTGCGTGACTGAGCACCGGACAAGCACGGTCCGGGTCAGAATGGAAGAGAGCGTCGCCACACACGCCTTGCTGCGGCCCTTTCTGGTCCTGCGCCCAAATATCTTCAGCTCCAATCTTGCAGTTCGTGCACTTTTTGCTTTCCACGTCAGCTGGCGCTCAGTAACCCTATTTGTTAACCCTGCACCACAGTCTTGGTACGGTGTGCAAATCACGGTTCATGACCAAGATCTGCGAAACCCTTTTACCCTGAATTTGAAGGCTCCCCTCCTTCCTTCAAACTTCAATTTCAAAGCATCACATTCATGATCAACAGAACAGTACGTTGAAGTCTCCATTGAATGGCGGTGTCGGTTACCACAGTAGGAAGAGAATGGCGCCCTTGAGCAGGGCAGCGCAAAAGCTGCCAGTTTCCCCTGTAGCAATCCGTACTATATCGATCTCAGAAGCACCGAGCCGCACAAACTTAGGTTGGGGGTCTGCAGGAAAGGTATCAAGTGCACCGATTGTTGCTTCTTTGAACGCAGCCGGCAAATGGCCCTACAATGAAACGGTTGCAGCTTCTGCCCCGCTGCGTGCTGTACCACCACTGCATCAGAATGATGGAGCTCCGAGTTTGGAAGAAGTTCGGGGAGCAAAACGGGGAGATACTGCAGAGGAGATGTTGGCCGGAGTTCGTAGGATCGAGTCTCTTTCTGCAGTAGAGTCTTTTCTGGTGCAGAAAAACTCTTGGGCGAGTGGTGGTACCCCTTCTCCCCCTGAGAATGCACCAAATCGGCCAGAGAGGTGGAGACAAAGTGGCAAAAGAGACACGAGACAACGTCGGAAAGATCGATGGGCAGTAGCAAGGACTCCCGAAGCGCAAGCAAGGTGGGATACACTTGCTGAGGAGGTGATAGCATTGCTGCGTAGCGCGCCGCCTGAAGAGGGGGCTGACGCCTCTTTTTTTCTAGACCCCCTAAGAGATAGAATGGGCCGCAACGTCTTCAACCGCGCAATCCACAAACTGGCGGCCGCAAAGGACCTCAACACGGCCCTGCTTGTCTTTGAGTGGATGAAAGAACAGCGAGAAGATTGCCGGCCGAATGCCGCCACGTATGCCCAGGTGATTCGGGCAGCTGCGCAGGCAAACAAGCCGGGGAAAGCGGTGGGCGTCTTTGGGGAGATGGAGGCAGCGGGGCTCTCTCCGGACCTGTATGTCTTCAGTGCGTTGATCAGCGGGTATGCCAGGGCGGGGATGTATAAGCAGGCGCTGGAGCTGCTCGACCAGATGCGCGAGCGGGGCGTCCGGCCGGACCTGGTGGTGTATACCACCGTGCTGAACGCGTGTGTCAAAGGGGGCCTCCGAGTGGGGAGGATCCTGGAATTGTATGCGGAGGTGAGTGGACAGCCCAGGTTGATCTACAAGTGGTGGTTCACTCATTGGTGATTGCAAGTGTAGTCAAATGGTTATGAAGTGAACGCCACGTTACTTTCGAATTTTACACCCGCCAAAAGATGGGGCGATGAGAAAGGGGAGTGTCCAGAGTACGGTTGTCAACACTCTCATTTTGTGACCTGTCCCTTCCTTCGAGCAGCTCCTCATCGAGTAACGGACACACTGAGAGCCTTGTTGGCACTGGAGACCCCGCAAGCTTGGCTTTGAAAACCGATCTCTTGAGCTTCTTCGTCCTTCATCTGGCGCGCGCGTACCTTCTCAACACCTCTGTTACAACTCATATCCTTTGTCTAGTGCATGTCACCGAGGTGTGGCTCCGTGGACCTTCGCAAAAGGACGACTAAATTACTCTAAAAGAATATTCTCCGCAGATGCGTCGGGAGGGCGTCGTGCCGGACCTGTTCCTGTGCACGTTGCTGCTTCAGGCATGTGCGGGCAGCGGGCTGGTGGCGGAGGCGGAGCAGCTGTTCCGCGACATGCAGGACAGCGAGATTGTGCCGGACGTACACGCTTGCAACGTCATGATGGACGTATATGGCCGCGCGGGGATGGTCGCCGAGGCGGAGGGCCTGCTAGCGGACATGAAGGAGATGGGCCTGCAACCAAACAAGTTCACATACACGGCGCTCATTGTTGGGTGAGGCAGTGTGGAAAGATTTTACGGCATCATTTGGGGGATGCTAGTCCTGATGACTTGTTGCAAGTCCGAATCGTGAGGTTGCCTTCTAGTACAGAGTCTTGCGGGGCGTCTGCGTACAGTCCAGGGCGTCCTCTACTTGGAAACGCCGCAACACCCCAAGAGAGACTGCTCACACCACTGCACTTGCCAGACCATCGCTCTGCAACACTTTTGCAGGTGCGGAAAGGTTCGTCTTCACCGGAAGGCCGAGGCGGCGTTTCAGGCGCTGCTGTCGTCGGGGGAGCAGCCGGACCCGGTACTGGTGTCAGCCATGATGACGGTCTACGGCAACTGCAACCAGCTGAGGCGCGCGGAGGACATGTTCACGCAGCTGCAGAGCGCAGGGTGAGGGGCTCTGCTTACTCTTCACTGGGCTTACTATTCCCTTGATCGCAATTTGCCTACCTGAAGACTACAAGGATATGATTAAAGATGAGAAGAACCCAGTGCGTGTTAGTTCCTTACTCTGTCGAGAAGCTGTTCTGATCCATATTTGATTTACAGGTTCTGGCGGAAGTTATGAATTTAGAGGCTCGTTTTTGTAATAGAGAGCTCGGTCACTTTTCTAACTAGCCAGGACGAGCGCGCGTCTCTTCCGACTCGGCGGCACTCCCTAACTCCTTTGTTTTCCTGTTTATCGGGCCGATCAACCAGACATGTTTAAACGCTTCCTGAGTGTGTTGCCCAGCGCGTTCTTCACTCCGCCAACCTATGCATCCGGTACCATTTTCTTTTGTTGCCGTTGTGGATATCGGCTTCCAACTCTGCTTTCTGTTTGACGGACACCCGCCCTGAAGCCAGCTAGCATCCCTGTCGCTTTACTCCGGTATCCAATTCTTGCACCAAGGTTGCGCCTTTATCCGTATTGGGGTGATTCTTTGTGGTGCACTTCATTCTGCAATCCTCGGGTAAGTCCACAATGTAGTGGCAAGCTCAAATTGAGGGGGCGCCTTTTGCCCGTGGTCAATATTGAAGTTTCATGGTGCTTGAAGTTGCCTATGGCAGCCTAGGGTACCGGAAGGTTTTTGATCATAGCCGGGTGATTTTGGCGTTTGGGAAGGAACCAAGCACATGTAAGTGATCCATACAGGGGACCAATCTTGGTTGGGGCAGAACGTTGTTTGAGTTTCTCCGGAATGTGCGGGAATTGAGCTTTCCAGGAAGTCAATTTTCTGTAGGAGCATTATGCGACAGCCAGCAATGACACAAAGGACAGAAGAGTCGAAGCTCTCGACGTGGCGATCAGGTTCCAGTTTCTTTTGCTACAAACACTAATAGATAAACTTCGATTTGAAAACACACGTGCATACACGTTGGTGGTTCTCAAGATAGCGTCCCGACCCCGGTTTTCAAAATGCGAAACGCGGTTGGGGCCAACGAACCCCTCTCAACCTGCTCGGGCACCTCAAGCACCCAAAATGTTGCACGGCCAGTCTGCAATTCATTACGTGCGACGTTCACGGAGTTCGACGAGATACCATTATCCAGCTTTTGTGGAATTATCCAACAAATCGTCGAAATCAACATCTTGGGTGCGAGGTTGAGGGGCGCGAGAGAACATCCTGTGCAGTGGAGCTCACATGAAACCAGCCACGCGTGCGTGTGTCCGCAGGTACCGCCCGGACCTGGTCGCGTACAACTCGCTCCTGGACGCGTTTGGCAAGGCGCGCATGCTGGGCGACATGGACCGAGTGTACCACAAGCTGCGCCACGCGGGGCTGCGGCCCGACGCGTACACGTACACCATCCTCATCACCAACTACCGCCGGCAGCAGCGCTTCGACGAGGCGGTGAGGGCGCCTCATGGGATCTTGTCTGCCTGTGTGCGTGGTTTGCAGTGGCGGGAATGCTGTTTCGCCGAGACGGTCACGTGTCACCGCTCGATCTAGAATATATAATCCTGGAAGCAAGGCCGGGGATGCCGTTGAGACGGGTGACGTGGCGAGGTCCAAGTGCGAAAACCCGGTTGGCGTCGTTTGACCAATCATTGACCACAGGAAAATTCGACCTCGCCACGACATCACTTTTAAGAGGATCCCCCTTTCTCGGTACCAATCCAAATGAACTTCCTTGATCCCGTTCTTCAGACGTACGCAGACCGTCATGCCGACGCTTGGCAATGCCGGCAACGACATCTAATCGAAGTAAGACTCCACACCATCAGAGGGCCAGTGCAATGTTTCATCCGTTTGAAAAACGACTCTTGAGCTCCGCTAATAAGCGCTCCCCGTCCCCCCGTGCAGGTCGCGGTGTACCGTCAGATGCAGGCCGCGGGCTGCCCGCCCAACCGGCTGCTGTACAACGGGATCCGCTTCTGCCTGGAGAAGGCGGGGGAGAAGGAGGAGGCCCTGGCGCTTGACCGCCGAAAAGGAGGCACGGGGCCGACGATTCCGGACGGGGACGTCAGCAAGGCGATCGAGCGGCTGGGGCGGCAGGGGCGGTGGGAGGATGCGGTCACAGTGTTTGAGGAGGAGAGGCGGGAGAAGGGGGAGGTGCCGGGAGGGGTGTGGACGAAACTGATGGAGGTGTTCGCCAGGTGAGCGGAAAGGGCGAGGAGGTCGGCAGCAGACGGCGGAGGCTGAGAATGAGGTTGAGACGTCCATGTCGACTTTCGGCTGTCCGGTTCTGGATTCCATTTGTCTTTCTTATATCATAATTTGTACCTTGTTCGGTCTCGCTCGAGTTCTCTATTTCCGTCTGTTGGACGGCTCTTTTAGAAAGTTGTTTAGTTGTCACTCTCAGAAAAGTAGTCTCCGCAAAGAGGGGAAAGCGAAGTGCGGGGACCCTTGTTTTCGACTGAGCCGCTCGGGGATGCACGGCTCCGCTCATTGTTCGAAGCATGCTGTCGAAAGACCGTTTGCAGCACGCGGACTGTTACAATCACGCCGATTATGAGCGATCCCCAGACTGCTTGCTGGCTCGGTCTATGAGCTCAACCCACGTCAGCTCGAGCCGACAGCTAACCTACGTCCGTGGGTTATGTTGTCTCAAGTCGAACGCTGACCTCTTGAGATAAGTCTCGTTTTGAGTTAGGCATATGTTGAGTTAGATCAGTACCCCGGGCGCAAAACAAACCAAACCCGAAATGAAGATGCCTCCACCCGTACCCACCCTAAACCCCCAGACCAACCCCACCCGTCCCCCGGGCATGGCCTTATTCAGACTAGCCGTATTACCTCAAATCGAGACTACTCCTCTTGAGCCCGTCCGTACCTGCCGCAGGTGGGGCCGCCACGAGGAAGCTCAGGAGGCCCTGTCGGGCATGAAGGCCGCGGGCCTCGCCCCGGACGTGTGGGCCTACACGGCGGCCATCGAGGCGCACAGGGCCTCCAAAGACGTGGCGGGCGCAGAGGCCGTGTACCGCGCGATGGAGAACGACGGCGTGGCGCCCAACGTGGCGTGCTTCAACGCCCTGCTCCGACTGTACGGTGCCACCGGGCGACTAGCGGTGAGCCAACCGCGCCACGTGGCACGTTCAGGAGTTGGTACAGCCAAGCGTGCCACGTGGCACGTTCAGAAGCCGGTCTGTCGAGAACCTTTAGACGCAATCAACCGTGAGTCGGCGCTGTATGACCAAGCTAGGACGGAGGAGTGTGCAGGTGCGAATCTCCTGGTTGTACGTCGGAAAGCGTCCAGTTAAATAGACGGTCCTTTTGGATGGCTAGGGTCCTTGCACCGTGCGCAAGAGGTCCGCTCGCCCTACAGAAGGTCCTGCTGTACCGTGTTGGATCGGATACACTAAACCACAGGTTGCATCTTCCCGACCCGGCCAGCTTTGCTGCCGTGGCGCATTGTGCTTATTGCTTCGCAACATTTACAGGACGTCTTGCATGAGAAGTCGGTAGACCGTTCTGCTCGTGACTTGTTTCAAGGATTGGAAAGAGCCGGGACCGACCAGAATGCTTGGGTTGACGTCCGTTGAAATGTGTCGAAAGTGAACGTCGGCAACTTCATCCAAGCCGTGTTAGTCAAACGACGCTATCCCCTAAAAGTCCACAAACTCGGACGGTCTCCTTTGTGGTTGTGGTCCTTCCGCGAAATCTTCGTTTACCGCTGCCTGGCTCGAAAATCGGCATCCAGGAGTTCCAGAAATGTTCTTGGGAGCCTTGAGAAACCCCTCGGTCGAGAACCGAGGGAGTTCTTCCGCCCCCTCTCTCCCTCCCGGCTCCTTAGCACCTTTTCATTCTAAGAGAAGCCACTTGGAATCAAGGCTCATGTTACTCCTGCGGCTTGCAGCCGGCGGAGGCCCTGTTCGAGCGGATGCGAGTTCTGGGCTTCATCCCGAATCGTTTTAGTTACTCCGCGCTAATGAAAGCGCTGCTGGAAGCGAAGCACTTCCGGCGGGTCTTGAGTTTAGGGAAAGAGATGAGGGAGCTAAACATCGAGACGAACATCGTAGTTCAGAAAATAATGGCGGCAGCAGAAAGTGGGTTGGCGGAAGCAACGCGGAACGAACTGCAACTATCCAGACAGACGTAGTCTCTCGTATGTCGTGCTCTTAGCTTTTGGCTGGGTCTTATCAATCGTCCACTATATTCTGATGCCTCGAACCTACATCGGTCGTTCTTTGATGTTCAGCGCCACCCTGCATGGAGCTTTAAACCAGTCATGTCATACTCACCGTCGAGCTTGATTGCAGATCGTACAAACGTATGATCAACGTTTAGCCTATGTCCTCAAGATCTAGTCAACCATTCCTTTGAGAGTGCACGGCCGCATCTCTGGATCAATTAGACGTCACAATGAAGATGGTATGCGCTGCAGAGAGCTTTTACACAACGTCTCATTGCTATATAAGCATGACCGTCAGTGACCATGCCCAGTGATGATGATATACAGAATTCGAGTTGTCTAGCTGCGAATCACCATATTGCAGGTTATACTCGATCGTAGATCAAACTCATATCATTGCACGTGACCTGTTGAGTCAAGTATACCTGAGATTTGCGGTACGCCCGACGGCCGCGGCTGATGACGGTCACTGGATCAATGGAACCTTGAACCATGACCTATAGATATGCCCCGGCCTCAACGCAAGTTTCAATGACTAGTCCAATCCATGACCTGCTTGGCATAGTCTTATTGCAGTAGCCTCAGCCTGCCGAGTTATAGCTGCAGCACATCATGCACGCCGGCCGGCCCGCTGGCCATGCGGGGGGGATTTGTGCAGACACATCCGGCGCTATGACATAGGGCAGGGTTGCAACCTGCCTCAAAAAGCCATGCACGTACTCAGAGACGAGCACGCGCCCAAGTTGCGCATTGAGTCAAACAAACGTTGCATGGAAGAACATATACAGATTGTTCGGTCATTGGTTACAACTATCGGGCCGCTAGCAAACACGAACTTCAAATTGGCCCTTTTAACGATCCTGTATACTGCTTAGCGACCATCACCTCCAACAGGCTTCTCTTTTCTTCTCAACAAATAGACGACTACTCGTTGGCTCTTGTACTCTGGATGCAAGCTTTTGTCAGCCACCCTGCTGATTGAAAAGTGACTCAAGGCAGCCTCGAGGAACGACTCTATCACAGAATCTGCAGGAAAAAGTTCCATAAACGACGCGATTCCAAAGCGTGCTGACATAATTATCACATGAGGTGCGCATTCCGTCATATTCGAAGGGACAATTCAGGATAGCATTCACTAAACTATAATGACAGAAGAGCCGGACCACTTGCAAAAGACGTCCCGAAGGATTCTACAGCGGTTAAGAAGAAGGGCGGGACCTGACGCACAGAAAGCGGGAATGCTTCACCAGGCCGTCAAACAGCATACACTAACTTATTCAACCCGGCAGGACTGCATGAGGCACTTCTGCTGACCAGCGCTTAGCTATCGAAGCTCAACTGCAAGAGTAGCTCACCTATCCGAAGCTCAACTGCAATGATTATGGTGGTCTCGCTGGTACTTAGCTCCTTCAGGGTCGTCAAAAGATCGGCGAATGTCTCGTCGTCGTACACGACGTCTGACGCCACAACTGCAGGGTCAATACGACCGACGAGATCAATGTTCGAACCCGAAAAAGTCAGCCTTATCAATCCGGAGATATGGATCGATTCCGTCACATGAATCCGGAGATATGGATCAATTCCGTCACATGCCACGGACTGGGCGCCACAGAGCAAGATGACAGCCGCCAGGAAGCGAACTGCTAAGAGAAGCCCAACGCCGCTCCTGAGTTTCTGAAGCTTCGAGGATGATAGCACTCAGATCGATTCGGAGGTTTAGATGGTGTTACTCAAGCAGAAACGACTACCCCCCTCTTCTTTACTGTTCAACAAGGATGGATTCAAGGTGCCTAAACGCCCTCAGATCCACCATGCTGGGCCTTCTTTCAAAACCACCATTTCGGATTCCAGATCAACGTCGCCCCATAAGAGCATTGTGTCGAAACCGCAATGATTTGCCATCCCTTTCTCGGGAATCCCTCACACGCCGCCATACAGGACTTTTGCGAACATGGGTTCCTCTCCCGAACAGCAGTCTGCCAACGGTCCATTTCGAACTTTCGCAAGACCACCAAACCAAAAACAGAAAACAAGGGAAAACGAAAAGTGGGCGGGGACTCACTCCAGTCGGGCCGTGGGTCCAGCAGTGCCGCCGTCGGTTCCGTGCTCCACAACAGCTCCACGACCTCTAAGCTTGCCGGGCTGCCCTTGGGCGCGACGTAGTTGTCCTCCACGTTTTGTCGGAGTAGCCGCAACCTGTCCGGCTGCAAGTAAAGGGGAAGGCGGTGAAATGACAAGGTCACTCAATACTTCAACATCTCGAGAAGGAACCTTCCGGGACAGCCTTTTTTACTACAATCTTTGGAAAGAAACCCATACTCTAGGAGACTGGAATAACTTGACAGGCCGCATTTCAAGGTTTTCGGCTTCAAAGACATGAAGCTCTTTAGCGCAGCTCTGCACGAATTGTGTTTCAGAAACATGAAGTGTTGGGTTCAGGACTATAGTTGAAAAGCATCGAGGAGGAACGTCATAAGGCAGAGTTTGGACCAGGCCTGAGTTGTACCATGTCTGTCAGGATCACGCGGGCGGCACCCAGGAAAGCTACCGTAAGGCCGACCAAGCCGCAGCCTGCGCCAAGCTCAACACATGACTTGGCGCGGAAGTCAAGCCAGCCTTGATCTGCACTGCGACAGCGGAGCGCCTGTCAGGATGTAGATACTGCACGTCTCAACCTTACATGCATCATGGCATCTTCAACCATGGGGGTGAGTGGTTGTTGCGCTAATCAGGAAACCAACGCTCTCCCACAAAACAGACAGCATGTACACAAACACTATATCAATAAGATGCACTGCTCACCGTGTTAATGTACAGACATCAACGTTGGATTTGCCCAAGATGTGCCCTGGACCTCTGATCGACTTGACCAACGTCAGAAAGTTCTGGGGATTGGGAAAGTACTTACGCGTACTCCAGAAACTTGGCCAGTACGAGGGCGCTGTCCCATACAACGGACCCGGTCACCGTAGACTGCATCTGCAAGTCTAGAAAAGCAATGATTGAGCAGAGGAACAGAAGCCCCAGTCTCCGCGAGTCTCCTCCAACCGCCACCATGGCCTTGGTGTTCTCCCCACAATTATGATGAAGAATGTGGACACGATCAAAGCACTGTAACACAACACCACCATCACATCAAATCATTCAATAACACAATCAAAGCAACTGCCAGACGTTTGGCCTTAGTCCAGGACAAGATGGAGCGCACACTGGTGGTCCTTGGTCCATTTCTCACCTGCGATTGCACAAGGCGGAGGTTTCGGCCGCAGACTTCCGCATCCAAGTGCCGGGACTTCTGACTGACGAATGCGTAATGCTTGGCTCTGGAAGGATCACGGAAACTCCACAAGAGCATGACCTCTTCACTTGCATTGTGGACCGCGAATGTCTCAAGGCCACCAGCCATCTGCCCAGAGGATCAAAAACTCTTGTCAACGCAGTGTCACGACCACCATCCGAGTCCTCCCTCAGGCAGATGTCCCCGTCCAGAGCCGCGTTGCAATCCCAGGGCCACAGCATAACATTGACTTTGAATTTAAGAAGAAGCTGGCGCAAGTGGGCACAAATTAAACGTTTGAGAAATGAGCTCTCGAGAGGAGAGCTGGGCGCCCTGATTCTGAATGTTTCGTTCAGCTGACTGTCGAAGTGATTGTCGACCCAGCCTCGGGGTCGGCTGGGGCCTTTCTCTCCAAGGGAACTCTACCGACTTCTGCGCGTATGAAGCTTCTGAAGAAGACAACAAAGAAGCTCTTGGTGACGAGATCTTCTTCCGCTTCCGGCCGCATGGCAAATTGCAAATGATGGTGCGCAGCAGCTGGGAGCTTCCCAGAGCTGGCGCAGGTGGGCGCAGGTAGAAACGGCGTCGCCCCCATTGCAAGCCGCGCTCGGAAGGTGGCAGCAATCTTTGCTTGGGACGAGGCTGTGAAGCAGCAAACCTCCTTGTGTAAATAAATACCCGCTGCAGCAAATATCAGAGGCCTACTGGCTCGCATGCTGCGCTGCATTTTCGGGGGATTTTCAAGGGCGAGCAACCATGTGTTGCGTCATTTTGTCAGCTGCCCAGTGAATCTCGCCAAGTAGTTGCATAGCAAGAGGTAGGTGCCCGTTTTCCTGAGCAAAGTGGTCTTTTTGGACCTTGGGCTTTGTCGAATTGTGATTGGCGGTTTAGATTCAGATTATCTGCCACAATGAAACGATTATCTCAAGAGATGGACATCTGGTCAGCATGGTAAAATCCTTTGGTTTGCCAGAGCTTTCATCTGCTCTTTTGGGGCAGCATGGATCTTCCTGGTTTTGTCCGAGCAGCAGACTCTGTCGATGCCTAGCACAGTAGTAAGGGTGCCGACCGATTCATGGAGTCATTAGTGCTGTCAAATTGAATGTGCATGTTGTCAATGCTTGCTGACTTCGATCCATTTGTCGTTAGCCAGCACTCCAAGTTACCCTGCTTGCGGAAATTCTTGCTCTGATAAGTCACATGCCCAAAGAAAAGTTACATGAAGTTGCTCTGATCCCTCCAACTTTACCTTCTTCGTGTGTCGATGGATCTTAGGAAAGCTTCCATGTCTCAAGATTGTCTAACAAGGAGAGCAAGGCTTACGGATCTCACCTTACATCTTGTTCTGGATCAACAACCTTCTTCCAGTGCGACACTCAAGAGGTACTCAATCCTCATATTATCACGAACAGTGTTTCTTATCATCGCAGAGCACCAGGCAGAATGGCAGCCGGCTGATTGCTGCGCATACCCTTCCAAATCTTTGAAATTGCGATGTACAGGCTTGAGGGGTTTCTGACTTGGACTTTTTCCTATCAAATCTGCAGTCTGCTGAAGAGATCTCCAGGCATTCAGCATGGCGTTGAAGGCAAAAGCAACCGAGCAGCTAGAGGCGAAGGTCAAGGCGCTTGGCAAGCTCCCGGAAAATCGGGCGTGCATCAATTGTGGGAGCAAGGTAGGCAGTCCACCTAACCTACTGTGGCGCAGCATTCAATCACAAATTAACGGTTTGCCTCTAAACATGCGCTCATCAGGAGAGGGCGCTTATTCTGAAACAGGGACAGACCTTACCAATGTACGCAGATTGGTGAGCGGTGGCATTGCCCCCGGTGGCCGATAGAGAAGGCCAAAGAGCGATGGTTCTCTTGGTGATGCCAGACTTGGCAATGCTGACCGATCCTGCTGTTTGCAGGGGAGTCAGTCAGTATGCACGACCTTCTCGACCTTTGTCTGCATTCCCTGCAGCGGTGTCCAGTAAGTCTCGCTGTGATCGCCCACCCAAAGAATGCATGTTGTCATCCTCACATCCTAGTAGGCCCTGCCTTTCTGATCCTTACGGAATCTGCACTTTCTGCTTTTCTGGCGTCAGCATTGCATTGCCCAAACCATTTTGTCAGATGCAGAGCGGAATTGATGATGAAGATTCCTAAAGTCTAAAAACCACCATGGCTAGTGGCAAGGGAACTCTGCACTCACACATCTGTCCAGACTCCGCAAGCTCACATTCCTGACCTGCTCGTTTTGTGCCAGCCGAGAGTTCACGCACCGCATCAAGTCCATGTCCATGTCGTCCTGGACCTCTGACGAGGTCCGAGCGTTGGAGGAGGGCGGCAATGAGGTCAGCGAGTTGTCCCGCAAACCCAGATGTAACATTTGGATTAAAGGAACTTTTCGGAAAAGTCAGACCGCTTTCTGCTGGCATTGTAAAATGTCAATCTGGCTCGGACTGTGCTTTGGCAGAGTGCACAAGTCCAGGCCCCCATGTAGTGCTGACTCGATAGAGCTGTCCTCAAGGTCGCCGTTGCTTGTACCTGTTTTTGCACTCAGGCAATGATTCAATTCCGATTGAAGCCATCAGAGCTTGGACGTTTTGCAGAGAAGCTCCATGCCCTTTTTCACCTCCTGTGCTCTCCCATTGATCTCCACCTCCCTGGTTGCCGGCAGTATTATCGACAGGCTATCTTGTCTCTATGACTTCATATCGACGTTGGCCCTCCTCTGTTTCCAGACAGCACGTCAGATCTACTTCAAAGACTGGGACCCTTCCAAGTTCCCAATGCCAGATAACAGGTGAGGTCGAATTGGGGGGTCTCTGTGGTGTGCGCTTAAAGTGGTATGGCATTCTCATGATGGGGGTGTGATCATTCTTGTACCCGTGCCGCCATTTGAGCATGCAGGGTGTCTCACCAGTGGGGTTTGTGGCACAGCAACCCGGAGAGGCTACGGTCCTTCATCAAGGCGGTTTATGTCGACAAGCGCTTCACTGGGGAGTTGCATGTGTCCAACATTCGAGAGCGGAGAGCGGTGAGCGGTGGAAGGAATTGGACAACTCGAATCTGTTGAATTCAGGGATGTGGAGTCTTGCAATCGCTGTGGTTCTGGAGATCCTTTGCAATCTGAGCCCCGAAAGCAGCAGCTATTGCAAAGCCCAATGCTGCTACCAGGATTTCAAATTGCCATGCTAGTATATCAGCGACAATTCAGTTCCTTGTTAATCTCCAGATGTCAGTATTACCTGACCATGTCCTTCAATGCTTTTCACTGGATCCTCGGAAGTATCTGATAAGAGCAGTCCGGGAGAGCATCTGACTAAATGCTGCTTCTGAGGAAACTGCCTGGGTTGTTTCGTAGGCCTCCTTGTAACACTCCCTTCTGACAAGTCTCTAATTGCCCTTGCAGTCGGACCCCGACCCTCGCGAGGCTCCCAGCCCGCAGCACAGTGCAGGGTACTCTCCTCGGGATCGCTACTCGCCGCGCGAGGCAGACAGGTACAGTGGCTCAGGCCGGGAAGGCGGCAACAAGGAGAGCCCCAAAGAGAAGCCCAAAAAGCGCGGCATCTTTGGGCGTTTCTCGGGGTCCCCTCGGACGTCTGACGACCGCACTCCGCGCACATCCGACGAGCGGTCCTCCCGCCGTGGCTCCGAGGAGAGGAGCCAGAGCGCTGAGCAGTCACCCAGGTGGGATAGTCGCCCCCCCTGGCGACCTGCCGTGATGCGCTGAGCCAGTCGCTCGCCTTACGAAGGAGGCCTGGTTCTCTTGAAGGATTGCACAACCGGCAGACGGCCGTGAGAAGTTGCGACGTGTTGGCACGCACCATGCCTGAGCGTGCAAGGATGGAATGGGACCATCTCGGAAAAAGGCCCATCAAGGAAGTTTTCCCAATCCAGACAGGATCGTCGCCTCGACTAACGTGCATCGACCGGATTCGACCCTTCTCGAAGGTATCTTTCTATGAAGTCCGTAATCTTTCCACAGGGTCGACTACCGCGGTGGTCGCGACGTGCGCGGCAGCTTTGACAGCGAGAAAGATCGCAAGGCGGATGTGGGGCGAGGGGTGCGCCCTTCCTGGCGGGACGAGCGGCCGCAGTCTCCGCCCATCCCAGTCGTGCCCCTTGAATCGGTCTTGGGGCCAGACACACCCAAGCTCAGAGTGGGGCCTGATGCGTACTCCAAGGACGGGCCGACCTCGCCGGTGAGAAGGGGCGTCTGTATCGGCTTTTGAAACCGAGTACTTGGATGTCAGCGAAGACATCACCAGAGCACCAGAAATCTGATCTAGCATCTCCGCATCGTCAATACTTTTTGCATGCGGAATTCGGCAGGCTGCAGGGAGGTCCTACTCCCCCTCAATATCAGGATCATGGCCAACGAAGTCCCCAATGTAGCTGTCGCTCCCGATAAGTCACCGTGATCTATTTTGAGTTCTGACTACTGCAGCCGTTTGTCCAGCTTAAGACACTGTTCTGGCGCTGATTGTACTCACCTCCACTCTCATCCGGCCAGATCCCTCGTCGTGGCCCCGCTGGCAAAGGCGGCGCACTGGAGGAGGCCGGCTCGGGGCGCACCCACAAACGGGAGCCGTCGACCGCTCTCATTGACTTCAACTTTGACGACGAACCCGCTGCGGCTGCCCCCAGCACGACCGCTGCAGATCCGTTTGGAAATGCTGCGCCTCCCAGCGAAGCCGCCACGGCGGGATGGGCCACATTCGGTGATGCACCCGCGTTTGAGGCTGCAGGACCCTCAGGTGTGTGTTGCGGGGCGCTGTTCCGCTTACAAGTACTTCGAGCTGGGTTTATGGCTGACTAGCATCGGTCCATCTATGTTTTGCTTGCATTTAGGATCCTGCATATAAGACGCATGCCACAAGAAAATGTGCAGATATAAGGGTTGCTACCGCATGAGCCGGGGCCATCCAGCATCTGCCTCTGCAGTCCATGATGGGATATGTTGTGTGCTCGTTTGTCAAACAACGAGGTCGTAATTCCTGTGCAGGTAATGGTTTCGGAGATACGAACGCGGGTTGGAATGCTGCCGGGCCCACCTCTCAGGTGCCCGCTTTTCAGGCCCCCGCAGGGCCCGGCGCACCCCATGGCAGTGGAGACTGGAACACTTTCGGCGCTCAGCCGCCGCAACAACAGGTGAGGGCCCTGAGGCGACTGCCGATGCCGCTGCATGCGACTTACTCTTCCGCACGGACCCACGACATGCAATAGTTGGCAATGGATGGTTGGGCAATAGGAGCGGACGAGGCCCTGAGATGCAAGGAAGGTTGAGTAGGTGCTACTTGTTGCTGAGTCGACCTCTGAGGCGACAACATCTGCGGGTATAGCTTTTCTGCAGGTGCCTCTATAGTGCAGTTTGGGACAGTCCGTATGGGTCGCAATGTTTGCGGTCGGAGAAAGATTCGGAATCCACGCTTGCCAGCAGGACTGCAACTGGATCATTGAACTTACGTTCAGCCGCTGGTTCCGAGGCACTGACGCCCCCTTTTGCTGCTACTTTTGCAGGGTGCCTGGGGCTTTGCGCCTCAGCCGCAGCCTGGTTTCGCCCCCTTCCCTGCACAGTTTGGCGGCTACCCCCCGCAGCAGGGCTTCGCCCACCCCGGCCAGTTCGACACCTTCCCCCCTGCCCAGGGCTTCCCCCCGCATCAGAACCAGGGGCTGCCGGCAGGCATGTACCCCCCTGCGCAGTACTCTGCCCAGCCCCCCCACCAGGCCCACGCTCCGGGCCCGCAGGGCGGGCAGGCGAATGGTGTTGCGGCGCCACAGGGGCCGCCCTCGACGTCGGGGCCTGCGTCCACAGGAGGGGGGGTCAGCAAGCTGGGCGCGCTGCCAGATGTGAGTCTGCGACTCAGCACCTTTTGTTTGTAATGAGGTAGCGGATCTTGCGGGGAGCGGTTGGGCGTCTGCCCAAAGCCGTAGGCTGCTTACCGTGTGTTTGAACGGGTCGCTTGTCCGCCATTCGATCCGTCTTCTTGATTCCCATGCACCCGTTCGTGTGCAAGATGCCCTGGCTGGTTTGCACTCTGGTGCAGCCACTGTGCTCGGCACCCGACTTACAGCGACCACTCCGCTTTCGAGTGGTTGATTCCGCCCTTCCGCTTTGGGATTGGCCCGATTACGGCCCCAAGACAAATCTCGAAGTCGCTTCTCTTTGTCCCTGTCCAAAGTGGCCCTCCTACGTCCCTGCCCCTCACATCTTCGTTGTCTCTGCGCCGCCAGGACCTGTTCTCTGACAAGGGCGGCCCGCCCGCCGTCGCCAACGTGTACCAGCCCCAGCAGTATGCCGCATATGCCGCCCCGCCACCGCAGTACGCCCCCATGGTGAGCATGTAACAATTGGAACTCGTCGCAGGGCCTCTTAAGGGCGACTACAGATGGGAAGGCTGCAATCGTCAGCAGCCTCCAGTTTGAGAGAAGAGTATTGGATTCTGAGTGATTAGCAGCCTCCAGTTGAGGGGCTGCTAATGTCGTGCATTCTCTTTTGATAAGGTCCCGTGTTCTCCATAAAGGCAGCTACATTTCGGAGACAGCTGATAGCAACTGCATGAAAGGTGCCCTACTTTGTCCTCAATGCATTGCTCAAGTTTTGCTGTCGTTTTGCGTCACATGGTTGGTTTCTGGAGATTCTGGGCAGAAAGATTGTGTTAGTTGGCGAGGTTTGCAAGCGTGAGCTCGGTGGGAGGTCGTCAATGGTCTAGTCGTGATCTCATATTCACGCCTGCTCTGCCCCTCTCTCCCAGCCGCAGATGCCAGGTTACGCGGCCCCGCCCAAAAGCCGCAACCCGTTTGACGACCCCCCACCATCCGGCCCCGGAGGCGGCCCGCCTGTAAGCATTGTTCCTGCCAATGTGCGAGACAGGCCACCACGTGGCAGCTGCCCGGTTGCACGGGCATTCTTGCACAGTTGATCTAGCATTCCCTCCAGATGTTATGGTTTGAAACCGCACGCTTGGTCGTCCACTTTGCCTTCCTTGTGTCGATTCTTTTCCTCTGTATTGAAAGCCACGGCTGTCTGAGATACTCCAGACTTCTGAATTTGAGTAACTCTCTTGCAGGCCCAGCCGTTCAACTTCGGCCCTCTGTCGAGCGCTCTGCCCAACCTAGGCCCTCCTAGCTTTGGCCTGGCAGGATCGCAGGGCGCCCCAGGTGCCAAGCCAGCTTATGGGGGCGGCCCGCTGGGACCGACTGGTTTCTCGCAACAGAACTTCGGGCCACAGTAAGGACTTTATAGCAGATTTAACAAGAGAAAAGTTGCGTATGTGATGAAAGGAGGTTCTCATGTGGGCGCTCTTTGGCTCGAAGCTTGACAATCATCATTTCAAGTTCCTATGCATGTGCCTAGCAAACGCAAGCATGGAGCTCGGACCTATGAGTCGCCCAACAGCCTGAATGAACATACTCTCTGCTCTTCCGTGATCGCAGGTTTGGGTACAACACGGCAGGTGCTGGTCCGTCTAGTCACGGTGGGTCTCCATCCGCAGCGGCATCTCAGGGCGGACTTCATGGGAACCCGTTTTAAGACAAGTTCTGTGCCAAATAGACCACTTTGACAAACGTTTCGTTTTGCGTAACTTGGATGCTGCTCCACATTTTCCATAGAATTCAGCAATATCGTCCAGGATCCGCAATCAGCATCTTCCGGCTTCTATAAACAGACAAACAATCTGGTGAGTCAAGCAGTAAAAGTGCCATACTTGCATTGCGCTGGGCAAGTTAAGATTTGCACCCGGGTTGAAGTACGTAAATTTGAGTTGTCTAAGTCAACACCTACCTTTGTTTGTAGCATGTGCATGTGCATGATTCATGTGTTTCATGGACCGCATGGACGTCCTTAGCTTGCACCAAAAGCGATCGACGACGGCTCGACCGTTGTTTACATTACAGGCATGAGCATCAAAGGTCTTTAATGATGGTCTCTCTTCGCTCGCGCCGTAGCCCATATGCCCATGGATGCACATGTTCTCAGAATCCCGCACAACTTTCTGCGATGACAAGTACGGTTTTGGTGAATCAACAGTCGCATGTTGCAGCCTGCAAGTGTAGCATGGTACTATTAAACCTACGAGGCTACATCTTTTGCGGCCGCGCCAGACTGAAAATTGCTCACCATGAAGAAGTCCAGGCCGCGCGCCCCAGGGACCGGCCCGGGCGGCCGCGGCGTGGACGGTTGACCTAGAGTCTAGACTCTACACCCCGATTCACAAGTTTTGTAACCTAACCCGGATGACGTGGCAACTTCACCGGGTTACGGTTAACACATTATTGGGTTGTGTCCTTTGACCTGACCAAATTAAGCACAACCCTATATAGTATAAATTAGGCCACTAATGTGCCAGCATTTGCGCCAGATCATGGCCTCTTGACGCCTCTGGCTCTGGCTCTGGCGTAGTCCGTAGCCGAGCTGACCGGACGCCAAGCGCGAGGTCGCGGGTTCGAGCCCGACTCCATGCATTTTTTGCTTTTTTGCATGGATCACTTTTTGATGGGCAAAACTCGCGTGCTTCGCAAAACGGTCCGTTACCCATGGATTGGGGTTAACACGAGGCCCCTGGAATTTAAAATGCGAAGCTTTCCATCATCAACGAAACCCGCGCGGCGGACATGTGACTTTGTACGCCCGCCACCGGCTTTCGAGTACGGTTCTTCCAGCGAAAGCCGATGGGGAAACACAACAAGCCATTGTGTTCACAAAGCACCATTGGAAGGAAGAAGAATCCATTTGAGGTGTCAAGAATGGAGCCTTACCGCACAAGGGTCACCACAATTCGTGGCAAAAATAAGGCCATTTGGCACATGTCCTAGTATTTTATTGTCATTTTTGTATTGGCCACCTCACATCAACTTTCAAGGTGCTTGCACCTCAAACATCTCATAATAGGGGTTGGCTAATTTTCCAAATTTTGAAACCAATTGAGAATGGCCTCAATTGCCCGTAGGGTTAATAAGTCCACGTTATAAAACTTGTGAATCGGGGTGTAGACGTATCAATCTCTATGTCTCCTCATGTTCCCGCTCTAGTTGCTGATCGGTGCAAGGGCCATGACTTGGGCCTTGAACTTACCGTAGTCCAAGGTAATGATTCCGAATAAATAAATAATTATTTGCATTCGGAAAGTGAGAAATTCGGATTTCTCATTCGGAAAGTGGAAATTCGGAAAGGTTAAATAATTCTAGAATGGTCCTCGGAAGCCCCAAAACGGCAAAAATCAGCCTTGAAATCCCCTTTCTACTGGGAACATAGGGCATTCGGATTGTTGTCGGAATCTGCATAAATAATTCCGCTTTCCAGGTCGGATTGTCGGAAATAATTCGAAATAAAATCGTTCGGAATCATCACGTTGGACTACCACCCGGCCCCGGCTTGCTAGGGGCCGGGCGGCCTTGCAAGTTGCATAACATCAAACTTCGAAGCTTCTCACATCACCAGACTCAGAGTTGGACGGTGAGGCGAGTTGGGGCGCTGCCACCGTACCAAGCTGGCATGGGGGATTCGTTGGTGACAGCCCTCGGGGCTGGCATTGCGTTTCCTCCAACTCTGGGTACTGGATACACGGCGGTGGATGCCAAGCGATCCAGATTGGGGGAGGCTGCCGACAGTCGGTCGTCACTGACTCCTGTATCCAAGGTTTTGAAATCAGACTCAAGGCTCCTTCACTCGTCTTTCGTCGACCGCTCCCTGAGCACCACCCTGTTTGCCGCCCCCACCACCAGCGGGAGGACTGATCCACACACTCCAGCCCTGCATGGGAAGCCCCACTTGAGAAGAAGGCGAAATGGGCTCATAGTCAATGCTGCAGCAAAGACCCTGATTGGGTCCATATCTGTGAACACGGCAGAGAATGTTGCGGCGTCCCTGGCCAAATCGTCGGTGGTGCCAGGCGAAGTCCTGCTAGCGGCAGAGGGGCTGGTCAAGACGTTCGATGGAGACCGTTACCTGTTTCAAGATCTCAATCTGACTGTAGCGTAAGTCGCTGGTCCATAAACGTCGTGCTTCTTCTTTCTTCTATCTGAGCCAAGTCGAATGCCAGCAACGCCGCGGTAATGGCGTCGTTCGTTTCTGCGTGACAAGATTGTCTGTGTTGGCTCCTGTTGTCACTTAGTTTGTTACTGCCCCATTGTCCTGTGAATGTGATTTTGGCACCATGCTTGTGCAACTCCCGACACTGAAGTCAGCACTCTATGGTGTTCATTTTTCTTTTCCAAATTCGCCATGTAGAGCCAGGCACCCATTTCCTCTATGCTGACTTGCAGGCGAGGCCAGAAGATTGGGCTAATTGGCCACAATGGGTCTGGGAAAACAACCCTCCTGCGGATTCTGGCCGGCCGCGAGAAGCCCGACCAAGGATCAGTGCAGCAGCGCAAGCAGATCAATGTGGGCTTCCTAGAACAGGTGCGGATGTTCCTTTGGTGTCAGCGCAATGTCAAAAAGGAGCAGAAGTTTGAATGATGAAACCCTTCAGCTTGAGAGCTGCTAAGAGGATTGTGTGCCTTGTTCGCCACACCTGCCATTGTTCCAAGAGTTTGGAAACCTAGCGCACTCTGTGTAGCTTTCGAGAAACAACCACCGAAACATGGCGTTGTTGAGAGACTTCGTGCACAGTTCTGTCAGTTGACAGTTGAACTTAACCAAGTTATGTTGCCATTGTCCACCAAGAGTTGCCCTCTTGCCCGCCAGCTGTCTAAAGTCATAGCCCGAACGCGTTGAAACGTTCTTTCCTCCAATCGGCGCCCATCATTCAAGGCTGCTCTCTTGCATTGGCTTCTTCTGAAGCTTGGCTCCTTCTCCTTGCGCAGGAGCCTCCCATGGATGGCGAGGCCACCATTTTGGAGGCGGTCATCTCCGCGGACACTCCCCTGATGGCAGCCGTCCGGCAGTACGAGAAGGCGGCCGCCAGCATGGCCAAGGGCAACGGCGCGGCGGGCGACAAGCAGTTCCAGGCGGCCATGGAAAAGATGGACGCACTGCAGGCCTGGGACGTGGCCAGCGAGGCGCGCCAACTGCTGGACGTGCTCGGGGTGGGCTTCTACGACCAGCGGGTGAGAGACAGCGGAAGAGGCGCTGACGAGGGTGTAGATGACAAGATGTAGAGGCTGACGACTCGCTTCCCTTTGGACTCCTGGAGCCAAGATGGCCCCAGACAGGCCGTCTGGTTGTTAAGAATCAGAAGACTTTACTGTTCTGTGGCTAGTTCTGTGGTCCCACTTTTGTTGGCGGTCTTGCTGATGGTGCAGCTTGCACTTAGACGCAGATGTTGGCTGTTTGCTCCTTGGCTGGAAGTGATCATATTGATAGCTAAGTATACGGCTTCAGATCTTTGTTGTCTGCTGTGGACAATTGTGAAGTCCCTCGCTTACTGCACCTGGCGCCCACTGCACATTATGGGACACAGTGCTTCTCATGCAGAGTCATTGGTGGTTCCTTTTTGTGATATGTCTCTTGGCAAAAAAGTTTGTTATTTATAAGTTATTTATAAGTTTGTTTGCGCTTGTTCTTATGTTTGCTTGAAAGATTCGTCTTTCTAGCAGTCCTCTGATTGACTTGGCGTCCTCCTTGATTTCACGACTTGTCTTACAGTATGATTCTTGTATCATGGGGCAGAAGTCATCATTTGCATTGGCTGCTCTTTGCTCTGGACACTGTGTGGGTGGGGTTCGATGATGAAGAAGCGCTATAAAGCAGATTGAGCGGCAGAAATCCTGTCGTGCTGACATCATACCAAGCTTCTACTGCCTTCCTTCTGAGACCCATCCATCGTTAGACTTCTTTTACAAGTGGGCTTCAAAATGGTTATTTCATTCCCTTAGTGATCTGGATGCAAGGCCAGTGATGCTTATTACAAGCATATATCTGAGTGGTTTTCCCACGCTAATGATACATTTTACTGAGGCCTTGTCTCCAGATTTGCTGAATTGCCAATAGTGGCCTTGAACAATAATTCTTGCCTAGCCTTCTATCATCTTGACCACTTTTGCTTCGTTAATCTTGCGGACATGCAGAAGTTGGTTGAAGTGCATTTCAGCACGCATTCCGCATCATTGTCTGCGGATTATCTGTCTGCTTGCAAACGGTTCATCTACATTGGGGTCTGATACACCGTTTTCTTTCGAAATGCGCAAACTTGCTTAGCTCACGATTGGATCCGCCCTGCTCGCGAGCGCAGGTGTCCAGCCTGAGTGGCGGCCAAAAGAAGCGCGTGGCGCTTGCCGCGGCGCTGCTGGCGAAACCGGACCTGCTGGTGCTGGACGAGCCGACCAATCACATGGACGTGGAGGCCATCGAGTGGATGGAGCGCCTGCTCGGGGCGTCCACCCTCACTGTGCTCCTCGTGACGCACGACCGCTACTTCCTGGACCGCGTCTCCAACGAGATTGTCGAGATCAGCGCGGGGAGGGCCTACAGCCACAGCGGGAACTACAGGTGGGGGCTGCTTTGGTCGCAGATCAATCGACTTGTTATTTGCAGGAAGCACACGATGCTTGGTGGACATTTCCAAAGCGTCAGACTTGTTGGTTTCGAACTGCGAGTGTTTGTAAGGAACGTCTGAATCTTGACCAATTGCCACGAAGGAAGTCGCTGACGTTTTTCATTTCGTCTCCAGTGCCTACCTTGCCAATAAGGCGCTTCGAGAGGTCAGTGAAGAAGCGGCCATCTCGAAAGCAGAGACGATTTTGCGCAAGGAGACGGAGTGGATGAGGCGGCAGCCCAAGGTACGATGAATTACGTCTTTTGTTTCAGAAAAACTTCACTTCGTTTGCTTGCTTCTCGACGAAGTGGTGGATTGCCGTGCAGGTGCTGCGCTACCTGTGGTTGTTAAGGTTATTCGGGCTGTTTACTGTCTTCATTACTTCCTCAATTGATAATGGATTGTTGAGTCGGCCTCTCTCCATCGTTGCCTTGGATCCTTTTCGATGAGCTGGATCTCGAAGCCGTGCCTTATGCTGCTTTGTCTGGTGCAGGCGCGCAGCACCAAGTCGCGGGCTCGGATTGATCAGTACTACGCGTTGACCAAGGCGGCAGAGAGGAAAGGAGCCACCAAGGGGCTCCAGCTCGACATTGGCAGCGAACGCCTTGGAAAGAAGGTGAGCCATGCTGCGCGAGAAACACATCTCTGGCCGGGAGTCCAGTGGAGCCGTTGTTGCTGGAGCCGAGTGTATTTTTGACAATCAGGTTAAGCTACCAAAGTTGACCTGCTTCCAATCAGGGTCGGCCATCTCGGCCATTACGTCCAGTGAGCAGACTCTCCCCTTTGTTCGGCAGCACTTTGAGACAGCTGACCCGTCAGACTCTATCGTCATTTTGAAAGACCGTGCCTCGTATTGACGATGCGAAGTGCAGACGATGCGTCGTGCGCACGATGCAAAGTGCGCACGACAGCACGTCCTTTATTCTCAAGCGATCCTTGATGAGATTCGTATGTCGCAGATTCTGGAGTTGCGCGGCGCGTGCATGGACTACGGCGAGATGCGAGTGCTGGACAACTTCAGCTACACCTTCGTGAAGGGCGACAGAGTGGGCGTCGTCGGCAGGAACGGAGTCGGCAAGTCCACTGTGAGGCCCACATTATACTTCTTCCCTGTTTTTCCAACCTCATAATCTCGTGCTTTTGGCAAGCTCACCATAGATGCTCTTCCTTCTCTTTCCTAGCTTCAAGAAGGGACGAGTGTGTCTAGATATTGCTTGCGGGCTTTCGTAAGCAAGTCAGGTTGTCTGTCGAGAAAAGTCAAGGATTTTCATCCGGACCCCTTTTTGGTGTTTCACTGATAAAGCAATTGGATCAGTGGCTTCGGCACACCTAGCGACTGCCGCGGGCCAGCATCGGTTTGTGTGGTTGCATCAGTTTTCATTCTGTTGGCTCACGTCGGGGGTGTTTGTGTGCAGTTGTTGGAGGCGTTTGCGGGCAACTTGGCGTTGAAGAGCGGAGAGAGGGAAGCAGGGGAGACACTGGTGAGCGCCGCACCTTGCTGTATCTGCTCGAATGATGGCTATTTGACATTTTCGAGTGTTTCTTTCCCGGCTCTGCACTCCTGAAAAGGTGTTCCTCAATAGTTGTTATCAAGGCTGTTTCCATCTAGATGATGTTCCCGCGAAGTTTGCATCCTGTGGCATGCATTTCGGGGAGCCGCTGATGTTGCAGCAAAAACTATAACTCTTGAAGCACAGAGTGCTCATGAGAACAAAACTTGGACTGAGGCTCCCCAGCAAGCCATTCAATTTACGGCAGCTCCTCCTCCCGGCTGACCCTCTTCAATCCCGTCAAATCACCGTGATCAAACGGCTTTACTCATCTGATAAAGCCGCGGGTCATTACACTTTGAAGCTGCACCCTATGCTCCGTGTGGCCGCTTCGCTTTGGGGAGCCTCTGTCCCAAAGGCCCCTGTGTGTCCAGCTGCTACTTATCCCCTCTTGCTCTGGACGAGGATCTTGTTTGCTCCTGATTCAGATTCTCCGCCCCTTTTTGCACTTGCGTCCCAGTGCCTGAGACCTCAGTGCTTGCCAATTAGACCACATACCGCCCCGCCCGCTGACGCACCTACCTCTCGCCCTTTCCGTAGAACATTGGGTACTACACCCAAGACACGCCGGCCATTCCCGACGACGTGCGCGTGATGGACTACTGCCAGCAGTTTGCGGAGGGCGAGGTCCAGCTGGGCCGCGACCAGGGGGGCTTCCTCGGGAACACCGCCGCCACCGGGGAGAAGCAGGGGCTCAACGTCTCGGGCCTGCTCGAGCGCTTCGGCTTCCCCCGGGCCAAGCAGTACGACAGGTGCGGCCTCCCAACTTCTTTTCTGTTTTGGGAGTGTTGGCACGAAGTTGGAGACGGATCTCGGAACATCCGTGCTGTTTGCGAACAGTACGTTCATGCTCAGAACATAATTGGTTGGATTCTGAGGTCCAATCCTTTAACAAGAGGCCGGGCCCAAACCCAGACCTGGCATTATAGGACGAGTCCAAGTTCAACCGGATCCAAGATTTTTCCATGCGGGTGTCCAGTCGATTGTCGGGTGAAGCTAGCAGCCCATGTGCACTTCTAGAGTTCCCTATAGGAGTCCGTGCTTGCCGGCATTCTCCTCGAGTCATGTCAAGTAGCACCTTGATATCGTTGAATCTGCATTTTGGTGGGTTTCAGAACGGGTATGCCGCGCTTTATTGCTGTCCTGCCGTGCGTTTGGTATCTGGGTTTGTACGCGTCCGCTGTGACCAGACCCCTCGTATAAACGCACAGAGTCGCGGCAATCTGCGACGTGGCTCGGGACGCCTCTTCCCGAGCACACTACTAAAAGATGCCAATATCCCGCCCAAGGGCCAGCGCCTCTTACGGCAAAATGTAAACAAGGCGAAAGCACGAATATCCAGCCTGACGCAGTCAGTTAGCAGCCTTCTTCGGATCAAGTCTCGTCTGAGCGAGAAAAGTTCGTTTCGATCAACAAATTCTTCTGTTCGCGAAAGAAAACTCCTTCGATTCTGTCGTGCATGCCTATATACGCGCTGCGTGTTGGGTGCAGGGCTGGCAAGCTGAGTGGAGGCGAGCGCCGGCGGCTGCACTTGGCGACGGTGCTCATGAGGAGGCCCAACTTTCTGTGAGTGCGCTCGTGTGGCTGTGACGTGGAGACGGACGCCTGGGTCCAACCGGCTCCTGCCCGCAGTCGAGCCTTCTGCAGTTGTCTCTTTTTCTACGCTGCCTTGCTGGCGCAGCTGCCTATCTTCCCTGTGGTGCCTGGGAGCATTGGCTGGCCGCTGATTTCAAGCTTGTGACCTTTTTGCCTGACGATACTCTTTTTGACGACAATCCATCTGACTCGTTGCCTGTGTCCTTGCAGCATGATGGACGAGCCCACCAACGACCTGGACCTGCAAACTATTGAGGTGAGGCAATTTTACCGTTAAGTCGGTTACAGAGCCTCTTGCATGGACCATCCCGCAAAGTCTCTCCTTGTGATTCAGTCTGATAGGGATAACATTCCGACGGTTTCAGTCACTGAGGTGAAGAGCGCCGCGCCGTTTCGCTTAACGTGACTCTCTGTGCTTCGCAGACGCTGGAGGCATTTCTGCAGTCGTGGGACGGCTGCCTGGTGGTCGTGTCCCACGACCGCGCCTTCATGGACTCTGTCGTGGATGTAAGCTCGCCGTCTTTCTACTCTTTCGAGCAGGCCTCCACAGTATGCTTCCCGTTTTGCAGATTGCACGATGTCGCGTCATCTTTTTTATGGTAATTCGAAATATATTCGAGCTGTCCTCTGCTGCGAGTGTCTTGCACTGTAAACAGATTACTCTCATGCTCCGGTTAGATGACTTCCTTGCCGCCTCGTTTTGCAGTGGCTGCTGGTGATGGAGGGCGACGGCCAGGTGCGCGCATTCGAGGGCAGCTATTCCGACTACACCGACTTCAAGGTGCGCGCCGCGTTGCCCCGTCAGAGCTTGACCGCCACGCAGCCTCACAATCAAGCCCGGCCCTGTGCTCCAGGAGAACGTACTAATGACTGTATGTTGCAACTGCCTCAGTCCGATCGCGCTTTTGAACACGATAAAAAGCACGGACTGGGCGAGTCTCGGAGGATTCCGTCTGCCTTTATCTTCGCTTGCTTATCTTTGGTGGTGTCGTGCAGCGCGAGCAGCAGGCCGCGCTGGCCAGCGAGGAGAAGGCTCAAGCAGCGGCGGCGGCCGCGACCTCAGCGGCTGTCAGCCCTTCTTCCGGCTCCATCAAGCTCACGTACAGCGAGAAGAAAGAGTACGGGGTGAGACTGCAATCGCCGCCGCACTTGTTTTCGATAGTTAGTTTTCGCCGCGCAGGCTATAGTTTGCAGCTGCTGCATCACTGTGGATGCGATCTCGACCTGTTCGCTTGAGTATGGTGAGGCGACAATTCTATGATGGAGGAAGTCAGGAGGCGAGTAGTTGATCGAGACGCTCCTTCTGACCAATCTTTCTCGATCGAGACGCTCCTTCTGACCAATCTTTCTCAACGGGTATCTCGACTCCCAGTGGCTGTCTCTCACGTTCGATAGCTTCCGACAATCTCGCGTTGGAAGCCCAGTATATAATTTGACTCAGTCGAAACTGCCGGTGGCTCTCAGCTCTCAGCTCGCTTTGCTCCTGTTGGTTTCTGTTCAGCGGCTGGAGAAGGAGATTGAGAAGCTGACGGGCAAGCGTGAGGCGGTGGAAGCGAAACTAGAGGCCGCTCAGCAGGCCGGCGACTTTGAGGCGCTCGCCAAGCTGGGGGCCGAGGTGGCGACGCTCATGGCGCAGATCGACGACAAGGTTAGTGATGCGAATGAACAAGTAAATAGGACGAACCTTTTTAGCGTTAGCGGAGTGTATCCATTCGGGGGCGCTGCCTTCGCCAAGTTTTCTCCATTTGTTCCCTTCCTGCCTTCGTTGTTTTCTCGTGTCTGCGTTTGCAGGGGCTTTTTAGGTCCTGCCTCTGATCCTAGCGTTTCTCACGCCCTTAGAGACTGCAAAGCCCCCTCTTGTGCCTTCACCCTTCGTTTGAACTATTGAAATGCTCCTTTGAATTAGATATGTTCCTTTGAGTGAGCGAGGTGAGGTGTCAGCTTGCGGTTTGCAGGGTTTGCATCTTCATTACTGACAAAATTTCCCCGTCCTGTGACAGAGCGACCGCTGGTTGGAGTTGGCAGAGCGGGCAGAAGGCTGAGGCCCTTCCGCCTTGAGGCACGTCCTTTGCCGTTGGGGGATCCGGAACTACTCCGTCTAGACATCGAGGCTTTTCGGGTGAGTTGGTTCGGATTCGAACCTCTTGACACGAGCTACGAGAATGGCCGGGGAAGGAGCAGATATGTTGTTATCCTTCTTATTGAGTTGCTCGAGTTGTATCCTCCCCGGTTTTGGCAATGCTAAACGTGGCAGGGATCCCTGTTGAAGACAATCAGTCCTGACTTTTGCAGATCCTGGCACCAACGCCAGCGTAAGCGTATCGAAGGAGGCCCGCCTTTGCGGACGGGCTTGGACGGTGATATACAAGCATGTCCGTGGGTGCGCCTGGGATCCCAGTCAGTTGAGTTTGCACCGTTGAAGACTGCATCAACGAGGCTCAGCAGAGCTCATTGCTGAAGGCTAAGCTGCACTTGTCACATTCTACGTGCAACGACTTAGCTTGATCTTGAACACTGTCACATCTGAAGAATGTTCTTGTCAAGACCAACACATTGTTTGTTGGGACGCTCTTTTCTTCTATCACTTTGTGCATGGTAAGATTGAAGCAGGCACATCAGTACGCGCGACCCGCCTGCTAGTGGGGAACCAATACTCCATCGATTCGTTGGAAACGAGCTGAGCGACCTTGCAGAATGCGTTCGTCGTGCAATCTTGATGTATCACTTAGTTATCTAATCTGGAACATCGGCCTCATGTACTGGCATACCGTATACACTTATAGATAGCTGCAAGTCGTCGAGTTGTGTTGTTAATTGGCCCATCAATGGTTATTTGCTGTCATATCATGCTTTAACACGAATTTGTACAAGTACTTCATGGGAGGCCAGTCATGATGTATTGTGTGTGCGCGGCACCCGCGCCGGCCGCTGCACATACATCTAGCCATAGCCCGCGACTGTGTCCTGAGAATACCGTCTATGTAGCCTGGCAGCCTGATCTAGATCGCCGGGACACGGGGCAATCGAGCCTAACATGGTTCTCGAACATGTCATGCATGATACACAATATTAGACATCTACGTACTTGATATCGATTTCATGACTTCAAGACGAAAAACCATGCTTTTGTCCATGCTTTTGCGCATCCGAGCTAGCAGATACCTACATGAACTTAACTGCACAAAGTATAAAGCCTTCGATCATACCAGCGAGATGCCGCATGCTAAGCTCCTGATGACAGATATTTTCCTGGACAACGTGATTGTGGCTTCACAGCATCCACCGAGATGCGGTTCAGAGGCTGACTGAGGTAATTAACAGACCTATTATAGCACCGGTACCCCAGATATCACCAGGTTCGGTATTACCTTGACAAAGTCACAAGCTGTTCACGAGCATCTGTTCGTGTGGCCAAGAATTGGATTTAGACAGAGATTCCGGCCAACTCTACATAAGTCGTCAAAAACAAGAATGTCAGTCTGTTTTCATACTCGGGTTCAGAAGCCATAAATGTCAGTCTGCTTTTGGTGCTCGTTTCCGAGGTGCCGTCCCCTCTACTGATTTTCTGGCTCCCTCAGCGAAAGCAGGATCCGGTTGCGGCTCAGCTGCTGTGCGGGGCTCTTTAAGGGCAAGGTAGATATAGATTGCTATAACAAGGTTCACTGATAACACAGCCAGCAGACCCATCAAGATTGTTCGATGTTCCGGGGATAAACTCCGAATGATCGAGAGCTCCCAGACTGCAAGAGAGAATGATTATATTGGACAGTGAAAGACAACTTCCCGATCACCTCCCGGTGATGCAACCAGGAACTGCTTTGAATTCAGCAAACATTCCACTTCTTTGTAAAAAAAAAGACGCCGCGTCGACATTACTAATCCTCGTTGCAACTCATCGGGCCCTAAGGGAGTCTGCGATCTAAAAAGCAAGTAGCGTGCACTTCAGGAAGCAATTCGCTCAATAAAACCGCTAATCCCCATTCTAGCTAACCAAACAAGCAGACTGTGCTCACCATTGAAAGTGTTATTGTAGAAAGCATGGATGATCAGCAGAGGGAACACCCACATCAAGAGCGAGGTGATGGCAAACTTGCTTATCGTGTTTGCTGCTGCCATGGTGGCGTTACATCAACGTGGTAGCTTCTGGGTGACGCTTCCTCAGTCCTGCGCAATCACTACCCCTTTCTAAAAAGACTTGTCAACCGTGGAAGTTTGCCGATATCCAAACAAGAAGACCGTTTCGTTATTCTTGCGCCCACTTCCGCTTACTTTCTTCTAGTGACAGCGATGACATCTCGCACCACCTGCTGATCAAAGGTTTGTCAAAAGTGTTCCAGCAGGGAACAAACTGACAAGTGCTGCTACTCTGCGCTCTTCTCAAAATGCACAAGCTCATTTCAATGCCAGCTCAGAAAATGAGTTGACCCTTGGGCCTTGATTCTTGAGCAGGCAGCTGCCAGCAGCTGCACTGGTGCGCAGTGCCAGAGAACTGCTCGGGCGCTGGCAGTGGCAGAACTGAGCTGCCGTCCAGTGAAGTGGGTTGAACCTGGTTATTCCAGGTTATGCCAAACCTGGTCGATTCATGAGTTGAACACAAGGAAGTATGAGCAGACGGTAACGGTCATAACCACCGGGCATGCAGCTCTGAGCTGATCTGCCTCCGGCAGAGGGAAATCCGAAAACGCAGTCGGACTGTGGACAGTGTTGAATTTTGTAGAACCGGTATTAGTCCGCCTGGAAATTCCGCCTGGCAATGGTTGGCATCACGTACCTGGTGTGATGTACTAACCACAATGGTCAACGAACACTAGGGTCCAGCTGAAAGCTCAGCACATGCATTCATGCTGAACAGCTTCGATCGGACAGTGCAGGTCTGCTTGCCCCGCCATGGCTGCCGAGCACGCGCCTGGGCTGTTGCTGGACGTGGTCGACGAGGCTTGGATGATGGACAAGCTGCCCGACGACGACGTGCCACTGCCGGCAGGGGTCACGCCGGCTGCAGAGGAGACGGCTGATGATAACTTGCAACCTGAGAAGCAGACCGTGAATGAGGACAAGTGGAACGAACTGGGGCTGCATACAATTGAGTAAGCTTGTTCCAGAGAAAGTGCGGCCTGGTGCTGCAATCAGTGAGGAAGCATGGCGGCCGCGATGGCTGTTTCGACAACTTCGACGCGCTTCTCTGATCTGAAGCCTGCGCTCTCCGAGGAGACACTGCAGGTGCTGAATTCCCAGGGCTTTGAGCGCACCACCCCGGTGCAAGCGTCGGCCATCCCCCTGTTTCTCAGCAACAAAGACGTTGCGGTTGAGGCGGTCACAGGCTCCGGCAAAACCCTAGCTTTTGTGCTGCCAATTGTGGAGATGCTGCGCAAGCTGGAGGGCTCACTCAAGCGGCACCAGGTGGGGGCGGTCATCATTTCACCCACACGGGAGCTGGCGCAGCAGATATACTCGGTGGCGGTGCCCTTTGTGGAGACTGTGAAGGGGCTGAGGGCCTCGCTGCTGGTGGGGGGCACGGACGTGGGGGCAGACGTGCGCAGGCTCAAAGAGGAAGGGGCCAACGTGCTTATTGGGACACCGGGCCGCCTGGATGACATCATGGAGCGGGCATCATTCTTGGAGCTGAAGAGGCTAGAGGTGGGCTCCAACAAGCATAATATTGGTTGTGCTTTTGCGGAGGCATGGGCACTAGCTCTTCTCCTGTTTGCCAGGGCTTTCTTGGGGCATCTTGTCCAAAGTTCTTTGCAGGTGACCATAATGCCTAATGTCCGTAAGTGGGTAAAGGATGATGTCTTATGCGACACCTCTGATTGCTACAAGGTTGTCTTTTGTTTCCTGCCATATACATCACGGGGCGGACAGAATCCAAACCAAGGTTGTGCGGGGCACTTCACATGCTCACTTTCCAGTGAGTCTCTTATTCCTCATGCGTGGTCCTCCTGGCAGGTGCTGGTTCTGGACGAGGCGGACCGCCTGCTGGACATGGGCTTCCAGCGCCAGGTGACGGCCATCTTGCAGCGCCTGCCCAAGCAGCGCCGCACGGGGCTCTTCTCTGCAACGCAGACGGAGGCGGTGGAGGAGCTGGCGCGCGCGGGCCTGCGCAACCCGGTCAGGGTCGAGGTCAAGGTCACCGGCAGCAGGCAGGGCGCGCATGGGGAGCTCAAGACACCCGCCAGCCTCAGCATCAAGTGAGTGCCCGTTGGGGGGGGGTGGAGGTGGGGAGCAGACGTGATTGTGGCAGGATGTGGATGGTTTTGCATCATTCCCAGATTGGGCAGAAAGAATCTCAGTTGACTCTACGCGGGCTTGCAGCTGGCCTTGCTTTTATCTCAAGAGCCAATTTGATGGCATCCTCAGTGCAAAAAAGACAATCACTTGTGTGGTGAAACTGGTTGCTGTTTTTTTTGAATCGTAAGGGGGTTCGAAGGGGCTTCTTTACTGCTTGTTTGTCCATCGTTCGTGGAAGACAAATTCCAAGTTCCGATGTCATCTTCTGTGCAGGTACCTGGTGTGCGAGGTGGAGGAGAAGGTGCCCCAGCTGGTGGACTTTTTGCAAACGCAGGCGCGTGGCCACAAGTGCATCGTCTACTTCTTGACGTGCGCGTGCGTGGACTACTGGGGCACCGTGCTGCCGCGCCTGCCGGGCTTGAAGAAGCTGCCCATTGTGGCATTGCACGGCAGGATGAAGCAGGTGGGGGAGAGTGCAGGGAAATTCTATCTTCAATGGCTTTCCTATGCTCTGCCAAGTTCGGCCCTCGTGAGCCAAGCGTAGAATCGCCTGTCTGTCATCTGTTGCAGCCTTTGGGTCAATTCCTGTTGCTTATGATTTGTTGCCTGTGTTTGTTGCGAATAGTATGTTTACGTTGCTTCGTACGAGGGTGCTAGCCAGACGGGCTCTTCGCAGGGTGCATCAACAGACCGTGGTGCTGTGTGCAGTCGGTTCGTGAGAAGGCGCTGGCGGACTTTTCTGCGATGCCTGCCGGGATCCTGTTCTGCACCGATGTGGCAGCCAGAGGGCTTGACATTCCGGGGGTCGACTGGATTGTGCAGGTGAGCATCGAGCAGCTGGGCCTTTGCAGGTTGTGGCAAGAAAGTGACAGGAGCAATCAGGAAACCCTTGACGAAATGGTGGCTTCCTGACTCTTTCCTCCTTTCGTCTAAAGGTCTCAGATTGTCGGACAGTAGTATGAGACACTCAACGCTTTCGAGAATTGATCAGAAGTGACGCAGAGCCGGTTGAGCTCCGCGAGCATCTGACGTTGTTCAGTTCTGGCTGCATTACCTGGCAGCCGCATAGGCCGAATTTCAATGCTGAACCGTCCCTCCATGCCCTTGATCCACTTTCTCGTCGCTTGCATCAGCGAACCCTCCTCCCAACGCCCCCTTCCCGCTACTTGCAGTTCGATCCTCCCCAGGACCCCTCGTCGTTCATCCACCGCGTGGGGCGCACCGCGCGCATGGGCCGCGAGGGCCGCGCCATCGTATACCTGCTCCCTGAGGAGGACACGTACGCCGAGTTCCTGCGGCTGCGCAAGGTGCCGCTCGTGGAGCTGCCCAAAACCGCCGGGCTGCCCTCTCTAACAGAAAGCCTGCGCACGGCAGCCACGGCGGACCGGGACATATTGGAGAAGGGGACGCGAGCCATGGTGTCGTTCGTGAGGGGCTACAAGGAGCATCAGTGCAAGTACATTTTCAGGTGAGGGGGCAGACGCGGGATGGGGAACAGAGCGGTGCCAAGTGAATAGAGCAAGAGCTTTAAGAGCTGGGGTCGTAAATTGGGGTCGTAACTTTGACTATGTCAAATTTGGCCGCCTGCATGGTGCAACTGCATCTGAGGGTGCAGCTTGTGGCAGTCAGTGGCTGCATCCTTTGAACGGCTGCTGCGGACGGAGCAACTGGGATTCTATCAGGCGGCCAAATGTGGCTAGAGTTGCGAAGTGGGGCCACCTTGCAATGGTATGGCAAGGGGCTTCTTAGGACGGTATAAAATCTGGACGTTTCCAGCACTCAACTCGGTGTTGCATACCTTTGAACAGCCCGATCGCCCCACTGAATGCCTCCAGCTTTTTTCGCTCAGGAAAGGTGAAGGTTCTCATGAGAGTGTTCGCATCTTGCGATATCGTGTTTAGAGGCCCATGTCGTCGGACGGCTTCTCAACCCAACTTGAAGTTCGTATTTAATGTCCAGAGATCCAGACATAGCCTTCAATTCCCCGGAATTCTGATGTAGCAGTAAAGATTGCTTCCGCAGTGGGTTGTGCAGGAGTTTGACTTGCTCGAGGAGCGGCTACCCCGTTCGGTTGAGGACAGGTCCGAGCTGTTTAGCGGCCAGTCCGTTTCAATTCGCTGCTGGTTCTAGCCTGCTGCCGACTGGCATTAACTTGGCCTGACAGGTACAAGGACCTGCCGCTGGGACGGCTGGCCATGGCCTTCGGTCTGCTGCAGCTGCCGCGCATGCCGGAGCTCCAGAACGGGCGGGGCAAGTACAAGTTCAGCACCGACGGCTTCGTCCCCGCAGCGGTGGATTCGGATTCCGTGCGGTTCAAGTAAGCCCGGCTGTCGTTTACTTCTCTTGAGGTTGACAAGAAGTGGGCACGTGGAGGCAGACAGTGTGTGGCCTGAAGCATGTTGCCGCTAGCGTCGCCCTTTGAATCGTTTTACTGAACGTTGAAAATACTGCAAGCTCCGTTAGATGAATTAGAACTGCGCTCCAGTGGGCTACCGTTACGTCACAATGCTACTGTGACGAAGTTCGGTTGGATTTTCTAATGCTTTTACGAGCTTCAAGACTGTGCACCGTCTGCGAGTTTTGCACTTTCAATCGTGTCAAATTGTGGACAATTTTGCAGCTGATTCTGGCTGTGTAGGAAGATGGTCAATTCACGACACACGGGCTGAAACTAAAGCGACTTATTAGTACCGGGGCAGGCTTTCTTGGATTTTGAAAGGCTCCGCCTTGTGCATTCGTTAAGCATGCTTCTGAGTACTTTGGTCAGGTTTCCCTGTGTTTTCTTTGAGGGCTCTCACTTCAAACGGCTCCTTTGAAACGAGCGCCCCGCTGAGCTGATGCGCCCTTGGTTGCAGGGATGCCCAGCGCGAGAAACAGCGGCAAGCAACACTCGCAAAGAGGGTCGAGGAGCGGGCACTAAGGAAAGGGAGCGAACACGAGAGAAAGGAGAAGCAGGCGGGGGCAGTAAGGGACAAGATGGAGAAGCGAACAAAGAAGAAGCGAAATGCGGAGCAGTTGGCAGGGGACTTGGAAGATTTGGACAAGGAATACAAGCTCCTCAAGAAGCTGAAGAAAGGGAAAATTAGCGAGCGGGAATACGCTCAAGCGATGGGTGATTTGGAGGATGTTGCTGATAGCGTAGCTGTGGAAGCGGAAAGTTTACCAGGAGATGAGGGACAGAGTGAAGGGGATGGAAGAGGGTCTCGGGGTTCTGTACATCGTCAAGCAAGCACGCAGGTGTCAAGGAAAGGCTCAAAAGCAAGTCACCGATCTAAGAATAAACAAAGACGGAAGTTAAGTAGCTAAGGAGTCTGTTTGAAGCATTATTTTTCATTGAAGCTTGTGGTATAAAGAAGGTGAACAAGGAATTGTGATGTTGAATGGGCGGCCTGCCTGGACAGTCTCTCTAGGGGACCATGGGCGGTTGAATTTGCATGATTGAATTGTCAGATCAACATGACTCGTTGTGTAAGGTTGTCTGTCCACAACTTGGTTCAATTCCTACAATGACTGCATATCTAAATGGTCTCCAGACAGACTCGATCTTTAAATAGTAAGTGAACGAAATTAAGTTTGTGAAGAGACTCTAGTTTTGAATCTTCGGGTGAACCGTGTAGGTTGCAGGACTGCATGGTTGACGATTCATTCATTCGTCACGGTGCTCTTACTCGTTTTGGACGGGCTTTGGACGGGCTTTCGGGCTTCGAAGAAAGAAGAAACATGCAAGTGCATGCCTTCGGTTCTTTTCCACCGATCTGCAGTAGCCAAGTGTTCTTACACCGTCGATTAGCTTCAGGCTCAAGTATCGTCGGCCAGGACGTACATGAGGAGGTTCAGAGAACATCGACGGCCGGGCCGTCCCTGGGTAACCTCGAACCGAAGTATCCGGGTGTATCACCCGGTGTGCTGCCCAGTACTGTTGCCTGTGTGGTTGTGCCCGGAGCACTGCCCGGCCGTCCCCTGCAGACTCCAAGGCTTAATTGGCTTGCCTTCTCTAGAAGGGAATCCCTAGGAGTCGTCAAATTTTAGCTTAAATTTTGCCGTATGCGGGCCTCTGCGCTTCTGACATTGGAGGTGCTTCAATGGCGGGTTCGATTTCGTAAACCTAGAAATCACGTGTCTAAATGGACAGA